GGTTTGGGGGGGGGGGGGGGCCAGGACTTCCCACAACTTGGATTTTTAAAAGGTCTGGAACTGCAGCTTCCACAAGAGGCTTCAGGGCAAGGCAAGAAAGGTGGTCAAGCACAGGGATTGCCTAACAGCTTCCCAGTAGGGAGGCGAATGGAATTCCTTGGCTTCCCTGGCTCCCCACCCTGGAAACCCACAACCTGCTTTCCTGGCAATCCATGTTTGGCATCAGGACCATGGATGTCCTGGTCCGGATGCTAACTGCCAAGTGCCTGTGCTAAGAATCTGCTGATTGTCAGCATCTGCATGGACGTGCTACGCGTGCAAATTATGGCACTACAAACAAGCCACCAACATGTTCCATGTATTTTGTGCAACATTTTTCAGCTGGCTTGCCGGCTCACAGCACCATAAAAACAGGTACTCCTATAACACTGTTACTACATGTGGTGCAATTACCATACTAATCACCTCCTTACTTGTAACATGCATCAGGGGCCCGTGGTTGAGAAACTATGTTAAGAGATCTGAGCGTGAAGTCAGTGTGACAAACAATATGCAATAGTGCTGATACTAAACTTTGTAACTACTGACCAAATCTAAAAAAACCACGAAACAATGCAGGAAGAGCAACCAAATGTCCTTGTGTTTCATGTTGGCATAGGTTGACAGGGTTCATGATGCTACTTGTAAAGTATCCAAATGCTGCAGCTGTTGTATGGAGTGTTTTATTGCCTTTCTAGGGGATTCTTATTTTTCAACACTAAGAAAGCATTGCACAGACCACAAATGTACAGCTGTACTAGCAATTTTCTGCAACTACAGCTAACTCAATAACCTTAAAGCAATGCCAAAAAGTGGTAAAAATCAGGATCTTGAGCATTATTTTCACTGTATTTGAGATATGCATAGTGTGTTCCCCTAACATCTAATAATGAAGTGAGGATGTTAGGTTTGGGGTTACTACTGTAATTCTCCTTAAGCATATTGTAACCTGTGACATTAAATCATTGCACATTTTAAAGGGCATGTGTTTTCATAAGGTAGTAAAGAAATCATATTTTATGAGCTCATGAAGAATGACCTCCATAAGAATGGGAGGATTGTGAAAATGAAGCTAAGTATCTGTAGTCAAGTTTTGAAAACAGAAGTTGACTATTTTTTCCTTTTAAACTTAACTTTTTAGGTGTGAAACCTCAATTAGGAACCTGGCCCTCAGAAGCTATTTCTTTCATGAAACAACTAGTGCACAATAAAGTGACTACAGCAAGAGTAGTGGGTAAAACAGATTATAGCTCTGTGGTAGAGCTTACAGATGAATCTTTCACTCCAGTAAATGTATCTAAACATCTTATAGAAGCAGGCTATGCAATGAGAGAATCCAAGGCTCTCATGACAGCACGTGAAACCAGTAACACTGGGAAGGAAGGAAGCGGTAAGTTTGAAAAACATAAAAGTAGTACGTCTTCATTCTTCACTGGAGTTTGATCTCTACTTACGTTAGCATGTTTCTGCTCCTTCCCCTTTTCCTTCCCCTTTCATCTTCTGTTTCTTCCTTATTTTCTAGTGCAGCAAATCTCTTAAGCACACTGTATCCTATACTAACTGGTATCTTCCTTTCTTTTGTCTTCATGGTTATGTCCCTGCATTTGTCTGCTTTCCAATGCAGTGATCTACTCAGTGAGTGGCTGTTGCCCTCCCCTCTATTTCTCCACCTTTGGCAAGCATCTTCAAACTCCCCTAACTCCACCAACCTCCTCAGATGCATCTTGAATCCTTAGTCCTTTTCCAGGCAATATACATTATGCAAGTTGTTTTGTCAAGTATGTGCCAGTTGTCCTCTTTCTTGCATCAGTTGTAGTGCTCCCTCAGTAGAAGGGACTCTGAAAAGACTAGTCTAAAAGAAAAATATCCTTACAAATTTCCCTGCTTGTTGTCATTAGGTAGATGCCTGTGATCTTTTGCCCTTGCAGTCCTGCCGTGGCTCAGTCTAGCAGCAGTGATCACATAAAAAAAACCTTTTAGGTCGTCGCTCATTTGACTATAAGCTGGCTAGCAGTCAACAGTTTTTGATAGGTGACGTGCTATAAGGATGGTTGAGAAGGTACCAGCAGTGGACGTTTAAAGTGAACTTTCTTTTCCTTTCCAATAAACCTAATATATCTAATTACTTTGTCATTTTCTGTTCACTTTTCTCTTTGCCTAGGAGACACAGTAAGGAAAGGTGATTGGACGTGGGTTAAGCTGGCTCTTAAACAGACAGTAAATGTCATGGTGTGCATGTTGTACAGTCCTGGAGAGTTCTATTGTCACATCTTAAATGATGGTAAGTTGCATCAGTATTTAGTCTTTTGCATACTACTACTGCCTCTTTTACCCTTGCTTTTGTTAATGTAGTTCTAATGTGCCATTGTTTCACATGTAAGAATAAAGAAGGTAGGCCAAATGGGTGGGAAACCAAGTCAATGAATGCAGGATCTTTAGAAAGGAATTAGAAAATTTTCTCGCTGATGCAGTTCTGTAGCTAAGGGGGCTGTTATGCAGGTGTAGACTAGACATTTTCTGCATACAGCATTACTGGAATGCTGAGTCCAGTTTTAATGTCAATACTCCTGAAAGGAGACTGAGAATCCAGAAAAAGTTTGAGGTATGAGAGGAATTCAGGAGTTTGGAAAATGGGGCTTTATGAGACTCTATGGCTCACTTTGTCTGGGTTCAAGGATGACATGAACTTGCACATGAAAGACTTGATTGGCAGACTTTTTTAATGTCGCAGAGTGAAGTGCACAGTGAAGTTCATACAGTTTCGGACCTGAAAATTCAGGATTTTTTATTTCAGGATTTCTTTCTGAAAGGTCTTATGACTTGTAGGTTGTATGGGCTTTATGGAGAAGTAACAGAGTGAAACTACTGCCTGAATCATGCAAATTGGATTAGATGATCACAGTGGTTTCCTTTTGGTGCATTTTATTCCACAACCTAGGCTAAATTTTCAAGACCAAAAGACATTTTTCTGCTATGCAGTTTTCTTTGCCAGACAACATTCCTTCCTTTTATCCTGGACAGATAAGCAGACATTTATCATTTGTTCATTTTACTAAACCCGTTCCTATTTTATTTTACATGTTGAAAGTATACCCAATACAGACACTATTTTCAGTGCAGTATTGTTAGTGTCTCAGCAGTCTATGTGACTGACTTAAGAGGTAAATCATTAAGTAGTAAATCTAAGTCTTGCTGTTTTTGGGAAGGAA